GGCCGAACATACAGATCTGTGCTTTTATTAAAAATAATGCTGGGGGTTCCTGGAGAGGTAGGCAGGTTTCACCTTTTTTTTGTGTGTGTGTACATATTCTCAGTGAAGAATTGTGGAAGGTGATCCTTTTTCCCTTACCTGTTGAAGGCAAGTGAACACAGTTACACTAGGGCCCTATCTACACACACTGTAAATCCAGAATGATATAGATTATACCCCTCATGAGTGTTACAACACACATCCACATGGAAAACGCATGTTTAAAAAGTCAGCAGAAAATCTGAAATGGACAATATAATACATTGCAGCTGATCAGTGTATGGATGGTGCAGAATGGAAATTTGGGAGCAACATGCACAACACTCATGGAAACAGCTCCACTACTGGAAAATTTGAATAATGGAATTGGATATGGCACTATAAGGAAGGTAAACAAATACCTTTTCCCTCCTTCACTGAGAAGAAATCAGTTTCCCTTTTTTGTTACTGAGTTGGAAAATGACTCTCATTTGCTGATTCTCATTTGATGGGCTGCTGCAGTTCAGCACATTTTTCCAAATGTTAAGAAAAAGGTTGTTCTGTTGGATCAATTCAGCACAAGGGGAGATTTGTGAATGTTGCAATAGTTTTTTCACAGTTCCCGGGCTGAGTGTGGAGACTGGATTTTTTAAATCCATATTCAGATCTGCATGATGCTTTGAAACACTTTAGGAATGGCTAGAGCGGAATCCAATCATTGCTTAGCTCAAGATTTGTTGCATTGCTTACTGTAGACCCACTCCTTCAATCTTCTATCAAAAGTGTGTTTGTCTAGCCTTTCTTTATCCTTCTCTCAATAGTGAAGCTGCTAAAAAAAACCTTCCCTGTAGACAGAAGATCAAGAGAAAAAGAGGACAGACAAGCATTAAAAGACTTTGCATAAACAAGTTTGCTTATATGATTTGGATTTTGTGATTTTAACTGATGTTTTACTGTTTATGTTTTTAATGGGGTTGATTTTAATACAGTTGTTGATTTACTAATATGTATAAATATATGCTGTACTGAATTTTGCCATTATGAGGCCGCCCTGAGTCCCTTTCGGGGTAAGAAGGGCAGGGTACAAGCGTGGTAAATAAACAAATACATTTATCAGAAGCTTTGTTAATAGGGTATGGCTGTATGTCCTAGTGCCTGATCATATATACATTATGTATATTCTTCTCAGACAGGAGACTTTGGGATCCAATGTCATTTCATGATGGCTCATTCCCTCTGTCTAGTCTTCGGGAGCTATCCTGCTTCTGCTTTCTCTGGTCAATGGCTGGAACCTAGAAATCCTGGAGCGAATCCTATATACATTACTTTCTAAGACCTTTTTTAATTGCAGGATAGAGTTGTGAGCGATAAAATAATCTACAGGACATCCCTTGGATTAATCACCTGCAAATATATTGAGAAAGTAATATTTTGGGTGGAGGGATTAACAGGTCACTAGGTGGCAGGAGTGTAACAGAAATTAAATTAAGGCACAACCCCCAAACTCTTGTTTTAATCTTTTCCCAGTTTCCATTAGATGGCAGCAACACAAACCACTTCGGATTGACCAATAATGGCCTTAAAGGCGAAAAGGATTTTATCCCTACTGTCAAACACATAGAAAGAAGTTATGTTAAGAAATCCTCATTATTGGCTGCTTTCCTGGAAACTACAGAACTTTTGCTTTTGGGTCTCCACCCACCAACCTCAGTAATGTATACAAATACATTTCTTTTTTATGTTGCCTGCAGTCCTAGTTTAAATTAAATGTACAAAAGTTAAGAGAGAAATTCAGTTAAACAGTTATTTTAGTAGTATTAATACTCTGTCCTGTGAGATACTTACTGTCTGAAATTCAATTAGATGCTTTACAGATTTTTTAAAAGCCTTTCAGGTTGCATGAGATAGTGGCACCATTAGTTGCTTAGCACTGCGAGTATTAATTGTAAATTATTATTTCAGTGTGGATCTGCTCCAGTTTCTTTAGTGGAATTCCAGTTCCTGTTCCATACTTTTTCCCCCTCTGCTGTCTTTAATATTTCAGAATAGAGTGGCAAACTAAACACCACACTATACCGGTAGATATCTCAGGAGGCCTTTATGATGCAATCAGAGATCATCTATTTTGAGTGTAAGGGAAGGCCTCTTCCTGTATCAACATTTTCCTTAGAGAAGGCCCCTTAGTGTAAGTACAAATACCCTGAGACCATTGAATTTTTCACATAAGAAATGTGTCAGAAGTCAGTCCCACAAGTCATGACTAAAGTCAAAGTGTTGTGTATGTGTGCATGCACATGCAGGCTGAACACACATGACAAAACTCCCTGGGAGCTTAGCGAGTCACAATTTTCATGGCTTGTTTGTGAGACAAATATTGCTCTCCACCCATGAGCCATTCCCATCTTCTCCTTTAGTTTCTCATTACAGCTCCCATTCTAAACCATTTTTTGTATGTGTCAAACTCATGTTCAGTTAGGGTCAGTCATGTATACTATAAATTCATTATCTATATTAGAACCTGTCAGGTTATTCTCTGTCAAATCTCTCTTCAAATCCTTGTAAATGAGACAGGGAAAAGAGTTTGGTTTTATTGGGATAAACCAGGCATGGGCAAGCTTTCTAACTTCGGGGCCGCATGGCGGTTCAGAGTGGGATGGGCGGGTCAGAGTGAGGTGGGCAGGCTGGGAGGGAGTTCTCCTCCTCCTCTTTCTCTTACTTCTCTGCAGCAGCTGCCTTTCTCAAGGATAAGTTCCCCCTTGGAAAGAAGAGCAGGAGCAGGAGGAAAGGGAAGGGAAGCCTGCAGTGTATGTCAAATCCTCCTCTTGGCAAGCAACTGCCCAGAGCTCCCCTTTTTCCCTTCCCTCCTGCTCCTTCTTCAGGCAACAGCTTGGGCCACCTCCTGAAGACCCTTTCCTTGGAGCTAGTGCATCTTCCCGGAGCAACTTTCCAAGGGGGAACTAGTCCTTGAGGAAAGAGGCAGAGGAGGCAGAGGAGGAGATGTGCTCCTCATCACTGGGGACGGAGACCAGGAAGAAGGGGAGCATGCTGGCAAGAAGCAGCAGGCTAGGGAGGCCAGGAAGAGGCTCTGCTTGGGGCTGGTGCTGAGGCTATGTGTGACTGCTCCAGCCCTCTTCTCAGCATGAGGATGCCGTGGGCTGTAGCATCCTCATGCCAATAAGACAGTAAGAGAGAGGAGAGGCTGAGAAAAGAGCTCAAAGGTCCACATCTGGGCCCCGGGCCTGGGTTTGGCCATACCTGGGATAAACATTTAACCACTTTGAAGACTTTGCCTGTGACTACATATTTGGGAATATGCATACACGTGCATTAAGTCCTGCACACATAACACATGCAGTTGTGTACATTCACACACACAATGCCTTGAATTCTTGTACTAGGAGAAAGACACAATATTAAATAAAATGAAATTAATAAATACTTTGGCTTTAGAGCAGTGGTTCTAACCTGTGGGTCCCCAGATGTTTTAGCCTTCAACTCCCAGAAATCCTAACAGCTGGTAAACTGGCTGGGACGTCTGGGAGTTGTAGGCCCAAACACCTGCGGACCCATAGGTTGAGAACTACTACTTTAGAGAGTCTCCTGGGGTAAGGACTGTGGTTTTCAAACCACATTTCTTATGGTTTCAAAACACCAATAGGCCAGTTCATATTGTTGAGGTGGCTACAGTCGTTGTGATCTTAGCAGCCATATGTGTAGTTTTTCATGTGAGAAGGTTATAGATTACTGAATTACCTGAGTTATTCTCATACATTATAGCCCCCTATCCATGGACTCAATATCCAGTTTCACTAACTGTTTTCATGCCCCCTCCCCCATCCATGGACTCAATATCCATGGTTTTAGTCAACCACACACCAAAACCATACCGCCAAAAGGGCATGCGGGGTTAACTAAGTCCTCGAGTGCACGTTGATGGTAAAATATATATGGTTTGCTCTTATCCAGGTTTTTCAGGTATCCATGGTAGGGGCCGGGGTGGAACATATTCCCCACTGCCATAGAAACATATAGTATTTTGTTTATGAATGTGGTCACTCTGGCAAACAGAGTAAGCAGAGCTTAGCTGAAGTTATTAATATGAGAATTCTCAAATTTCTAAAAACGTTTTGGACAACTATACTTTTGAAATGTCTTCAGGGGAGTAGTTTCCAAATTTACATTGGGTTTCTGCTATTACAATCTCAGAGGATTATCTATTTGACTAGGGCTTCTGGGACTTGAATTCCAACTTCTGATTAACGAAGTGAATTAACAAACTAAAGTGAAGACATGTGATGGCTTGCTATTTATTACTGCGGTATAGATTCTGCTGTAAGTTACCATTTGGGAGAATAAGTTGTTTAATAACTTGTATTATAAAATTGCTAAGTAAGTGTCTATCAATATGTATTTTAAAATGTATTTCTTTCTATTGATTTCATTGATAAGAGTACAATGCTGAAATAAGTATATCTGAACAATTGAATGTTTGGTGGGGCATTCTTAGCCACTTGATGAAGAATAAGCTATACAGCTAAATCCAGACTAAGGAAGTTTCCATTGAAATCAATAGGACTTAATCAAGACTGATGTATTCTGTTGATCTGAAAAGGAGCTGAGTTCAACTAACTTAGGATCCAGTTCATAATAATAGGATGGAGTCTTGATGTCTTACACATGCACAAGTTCTCTGATGGAGGCAATTGGGAATTTTTGTCTGATGCAGAATGTCTTCATTCAGTTCAAAGATGCAGAAGCAGAGCTGCACATGCACTGCTGTTCTTCAGGAAGGTGTGCTTACATATGCAGATGCACATTTGTTGTCATATATGGGTGTGCATTTAGTTATATAACTTTACCATTCAACACAGGTTTGCATGGCACTACTGATGCTTACTTTCGCATGGGGAGATTTATGTTACCCAACCCTAATGTAGGATTTTGACCAGTATATTTCAATCCCAGTGTAATATAAACTGGAGACCATTCTTCCCAAATATTTATTGGCTGAATTTGGCTGAATCATGTGAACAAAATGCAAACAATCACCGTCGCTATTGTGATACAAACCAACAATACTAGAAATAGTATGATTAGACAACATCTAGAACGTTTGCTTTCTCTCTCTTTCTTTTTCAGCAAGGTATCATATCCTGGAGTGTAAATATCTTCCAGCCAGTAGTGGATATCATTTGGATTTTCCTATAAGAAAAGCAATGTGATTGTTTTGTGTGCATAGACAACAAAAGCTTACTTGTCTTAAACACCCTCTACATCTCACCTCGGAGATTAAGATTGTCCAGGGAGGCCCTGCTCTTGATCCCGCTTTCTTCACAAACATATTTGGCATGGACGAGAGACAGGGCCTTCTCAGTGGTGGCCCCCCACCTGTGGAACATGCTCCCCAGTGAAATTAGGTCAGCTCCATGCCTCCTTTCCTCTAGGAAAAAGCTCAAAACATGGTTTTGGGACCAGGCATTTGAGTAACAGGCTTGACAGCAATTGCAATGTTTCAGAACGGTCTATGGACAGGCTTTGGATTGCGTCATTGGTTGCTGAATCAATATGGCTGATAATAATGTTTTAAAATGGATTTTAACCTAATGCTTTTATCTACTCTATTATGTCATGTTTTACTGTGTTTTTGTATGTGTTGGCATCTAATTGTTGCTGTTGTGAGCTGCCCTGAGTCCCCCCTCAAGGGTTGAGAAGGACAGGATACAAACATTCGAAATAAATAAATAAAATTTGAGTAATTCACAACATTTTGGTTACCAGTGTTTACCGCTCAGTGACACAAATCAAGTTCTCTCCACTGCCTTCTATCTCTGCTTATTAGCATGGAGGCTAGACAATGGAGCAAAACTATTTTTACTGAAAGTGGCACAATGGCCACTGTGTCTGCTGTATTAAGGCCAGAGCAATCCTTCATCCAAAATGATTAAAAACCAGAACTTACAACTATCCCTATCCCCAGACCCATAAACCCCTTTGTACTCTACATTGCTTTGAACCTATTGCTTATATTTGAGTTGCTGCAAGCATCCAACTTTCCAGTAACCTAATATGAATTTAGGTCAGCCATAATGATCTGAATTCATATGTTCAGCTGCTAATCTGGTGGGACTTCTTCCCCATTCTCCCGAGAGTCTCTCAGTGATACCCCCAAAGCTTGCTTCAGTGCATTTCCCAAAACAGTAGGGCAAGTTTTAATGCAATACCTTGAGCACCAAAAGCAAGATGAATAATCACTCTTCCAGTTCATCTGACAAAACAGTTCTATCAACCAAGTAACACTGTAGGATCCTCATCATTTTTTTTTCTAATGGAAAACTTTCTTCCTAATGGTAAATATAGGACAGGCATGGTTTTATGTAACCGTACCTTTAGATAGTGAGCCAGGGTGGAGTTTAGGGAATGCCTGTCATAGTCCTGAACAGTCCAAGATGGATTATTCCTCCTTTCCTGCCAGGTGTCATCAATAAAGACATCATTGTATAGAGGATTACTCTTGATGGTCGATTTCAAGGTGACAGGTGTAATGTGTTTTCCAAGGGCTTTGTCAATCACTGCCGGATGTAGCTCACCAAGTTGCACAACTGGCCGTTCACGTACATTTTTCCTTTCTTTCTATGGGTATAAAGGAAAGCTGTCATCTATATTAATCGCAGAAAAGATCTCCTCTCCCGCAGGCTTGAAACCCTTCACATTAATGATAAGCCAATTCTTGTAGCATTAAAAAATGCCTCCTGGGAAGACGTGGTAGTGCTTCACGTAATATGGGCACATTCCTGTAAAAGAGTATGACTGATTCTTTAACAAGCTTGTCACAGGAAAGCCATGGCTGTGATGCAATGACTGTACAAGAAATCCAGATTAGAATTTGGATGAAAACGAAGTAATTCATTGCCAAAACAAATATTTTAAAGTAATAATTTACCGCTGTATGAAAGCCCCAAAGCTCTAAATAGGCAGCAACATTTCCTTATTTATCACCCCATTAACTACATAGAATGGCTGTTACTGTACTTCAGTTTTTCACTCATCAAAATGGTAGTTGAGTGTTGCTGTCCCAGCTGTAATCTGAATGATAATGATTGAGAGCCCCTTCACACTGTATAATTATAGCACCGTGATTTCACTTTAAATGCTATGACTACATCCTGTGGAGCAGTGGGATTTGTAGTTTGGTCATAAGTTGTTTTCACAGGTATTACCACTGAACCATATAATCCACACACACCACACACCCTAGACCTATGCATTTGGATTTTGGGCCCTAAATGTAGAATTTTGTATTTGTCTCTACTGAATTTCATTAAATTCACTTTTTGTCAATTTTTCAATTTTATCTTAATTGCTTTTGAATTCTGTACATATCTTGTGATGTGTCAGCCACCCTTTCCTTCTGCCAATCAATTGCATTTCTTGGGGCAAGTCAGATGAAGGAGTAAATGAGTCATAAATAAGACGAGGCTCCAAAGGCAAAGAGGCACGCATCCCTCTATAATTACCCTCAACGAGTGCTGGAGAGTAAATCGATTTGCAGTGCCTGCCAGCTCCAAATTTAGCTCCTGTCAGTTTCCATATGTCATTCCTGAGACATGACATGTCCACTGGTTATCCTGTCTTGCCTGTCATATTTGTGTATTGCATCTACACCAGCATTTTCAATGCTCTTGATAGTTGGTTGAGGAAGAGAAAATCTTTCTTACCAGCAATACCATTTTTAATGCATGTGGAATTGGCACCAAAAAAATGGATTGGATCTTGTCTGAAAGTTACCAATGCTTCAGTCTTATGTTATGCCATGGATCATTTTTCCTGTTCATATTACTGGGTCTAATGCAAGACTAATTCAGTCTGTATTCAGTCCGATGCGATTTGAATGTAATCAGTTTATACAGTTTTAAATGATGATGGAGGAAGAGGCAAAACGAGTTGAAAATATATTTTATGTAATGGTGTTAATGTCTTTTAGGTAGCCTAACTTAGTAGGGGAAACTACACCTTGCATACAGAAGGACACAGGTTCAATTCTTAGCATCTTTAGATGACAGGGGATGCAAATAAAACGGTATATAATAAGTTACAAGAAAGAATTATCTGTCACCCAGACTCTACAGAACAGTTGTGAGTCACAGTAGACAATTCTGGCCTAACTGGACAAATAATCTGAATTTATAAAGTAATAGCAAGTTTGTGTGCTTCTTGGGGCAATTTGCCTGGCTGTGCTTAGAAGGGCTAGATAGACTTGTGTTTCACCCAGGACAGCTGTTCTTACCTAAATGGATTGAAAGCTGGGCCCGGACTATCTACTTAAAAGATTTAATTGCAGGCAGGACCTAATTTCTCATAAGAATCATTACCTTTTATGAGGAGCAGCATGTTGAAGTTGTGGTTCCCTTTATACTTGGACCTCTACTTATTTCAACATTACAAAACAACATCTTTGAAGCATATGCACTGATATAATGAAATGCTTCAGGGCACAGTAGTATCCTACACCCATTCAGTGCACCCTAAGCAAACATCTAGCCAAAATAAAGTTTGTTCACAAGGAATACATCATCTCCACCAACAATAGCCTTCTGAATTGGCCTATAATATCCATAGCAGTGTGTCTCAACCTGGGGGTCAGGACCCCTGGAGGGGTCACCAAAGATAATCAGAAAACACAGTATTTTTTGTTGGCCATGGGGGTTCCAATTCTATTGTTGGTGGAGTTCAGAATGCTCTTTAATTGTAGGTGAACTATAAGTCCCAGCAACTATGATTCCCTGTCGGAGCCCCCGGTGGCGCAGTGGGTTAAATCCCTGTGCCAGCAGGACTGAAGACCGACAGGTCACAGGTTCGAATCTGGGGAGAGGCGGATGAGCTCCCTCTATCAGCTCCAGCTCTTCATGCGGGGACATGAGAGAAGCCTCCCACAAGGATGATAAAAACATCAATTCATCCAGGTGTCCCCTGGGCAACGTCCTTGCAGACGGCCAATTCTCTCAAACCAGAAGCGACTTGCAGCTTCTCAAGTCGCTCCTGACACGATCAAAACTATGATTCCCAAATGTCAAGGTCTATTTTCCCCCAACTCCACCAGTATTCAAATTTGGGCATATTGGGTATTTGTGCCAAATTTGGTCTAGTGAATGAAAATACATCTTTCATATCAGATATTTATATTATGATTCATAACAGTAGCAAAATTACAGTTATGAAGTAGCAATGAAAATAATTTTTTGTTTAGGGGTCACCACAGCATGAAGAACTGTATTAAGGGGTTGTGGCATTAGGAAGGTTGAGAGACACTGCTCTACAGGGTTTCAGGATCTAGTTGCAAAACAGGCCTTGTACCATTTCATCAGACATTGTTGTTGCTGCTGCTGTTGTGTGTCTTCAAATAATTTCTGATGTATGGCAACCCCAATCATGGAGTTTTGTTGGCAAGATTTTTTTTTCAGAAGGTGTTTGCTTTTGCTCTCCTCTGAGGTTAAGAGAAGTTAAGAGAGTGTGACTTGCCCACAGTTGAACAGATTTTCATACCATGGTCTTGAGAGTCATAGGTCAGTGTTCAAACCATTCATGTCTGGACTTGCTGTGGGCAGTGCATCTGTATGTTCATCCAGACTGCTCTTACAAACTCATCCTACATATTACCCTGGAAGAAAGTGCCTGCATGTAACTGGACTTACTTTCTAGTATTTAGAAATGCCACCTTATTTGGGTCATCTTGGATATTATCAGTCTTTCCCTGCAGCCCAGATCTGCTGAGTGTGCCAACTGTTCTCATATGTTTTGACCACTGCATAATCATGTACTCATTTCAAGGATGAACCCTGAAAATCAGTTACCTTGGCAATGAGGGACATATGCAATCAAGTATGCAGAAAATTCTACCACCAACAGTGCTAAAATTGGAAAAACGTGGCTTAGTTGGTGAATGTTGGACAAACATTTTTGGTTGGTATTTGATATTTCACATTCTCAAAGAGGCAGTGAGGCAAAGAAGAAGGTGCTGGTGTTACTGCTGCTAACAGAACATACCAGGATCCTGCTCCCCCAAATGTTATTGAAAATATAATTCATTAAACATTCTCTGGAAAGAGTGCAATCAATTATAAATTTCTGTCTGGCCTTTTCTGTGAATGACACATCTTAGACAAGGGCTATGAGCAGGGATATAGTTGTGAGTTAGGTGGAGAGGAAGCCACAGGGAGGAGGGAGCAAGCTTGTTTTCTGCTTCCTTGGAGACTAGGACGCGGAACAATGGCTTCAAACTACAAGAGAGGAGATTCCATCTGAACATTAGGAAGAACTTCCTGACTGTGAGAGCCATTCAGCAGTGGAACTCTCTGCCCCGGAGTGTGGTGGTGGCTCCTTCTTTGGAAGCTTTTAAGCAGAGGCTGGATGGCCATTTGTCAGGGGTGATTTGAATGCAATATTCCTGCTTCTTGGCAGGGGGTTGGACTGGATGGCCCATGAGGTCTCTTCCAACTCTTTGATTCTATGATTCTATGATTCTATGAGTGGGTGTGGAGCATTGAATGATGGCATTGCCATCCCTGAGAAGTTTGCCAGCACAATGCAATTGTCTTTTAGTCCCAAATTTGCAATAACTTAAATGCTAATTGAATGTTTTAAAAATAGTTTAGTTCTTCAAAGCAAAGGAGCAAGCAAAGTTACCAAGGGAATGCAAACACAGCAAATTTAAAAGTTCTAAGTGGACAATTTTCAATTTCTCACTCCCTGCAATGGAGTGTTGGTGTTGGACCCAGGAGGAAAAAATTATTTGGGAACACAGTTCAGTGCCTGAAAGTCACAAAATCATCAACATCCCTGCTCATGTCTTGAAGACTCAAGGCTATGGCTTCCTTGATTGGGTTTATCCATCTGCAATGTGGTAGTAGTGACATGATAAGAATCACAAATGTCTGATTTGTATGATCCAGGCATGTAGCCGGGGGGGGGGGGGGGTGGGGCTTCAGCCCCCCCCCTGAAATTCTCATGGTGGTCTGCAGAAAGGCCTTACTGGTACATTATTTAAACTGTTATGTTTATTCATATCATGATCTGATCACCATACTCAATATATCCCATATGCATGGGGTATTGGGGTAATGATACAAAAGGTTTGCTAGGGTAGACCCTCTTTCACTCAGACTCAGCCCCCCCCGAAACTCAGCCCCCCCCAACCCCCCCTGAAATTTTTTTAGCCCCCCCCCCCGAAACGAAATCCTGGCTACGGGCCTGGCTCAGTGTTGCTCTAAGTTATTTCTACCCTCTGCTGCGGACTTTACTAATTTAGCTTGGATTATTTGAACTGCAACTGCAAATGTGGCAACCTTTAATGTTATATTTTTGGAATAATCTGCTAACAAGTCACAGATAACTGCTGACTGTTGCAATGCTGACCTTTCTTCCAAAAGGGCTCCCAGAAGATTGTTTTGAGGGCCATTATACAAAGGACAATGTGTATTAAATCCTCTCTTTCCTTGGGCCCACAAATACAAAGACGTTGGGCATGAGGGATCCATCTATATCTTCCCTCTAACCAGCCGGATGCCATTGTTTGGAAGCACAGGGCTGGAAATGCTTTTCTAAGGGATACAGACATTAAGTCTTGAAGATATTTTTGACAATATTAGCCACTCTTTAGTAAAGGATACCAAGTGGTGAAACCCTGCTGTTTACTAGTCCGCAAGTTGTCAGTATGATCAATCTCAAAGATTTTGTCTGTAATCGCCTTCTTGTTCAACTGTGTTAGGGTTGTTGTGGACCCATCAAAATAGTGGTGGAGCAGAGCTAACCAGTGTTGAGCCCAACCTCCTCACATATATTGCTCCATCAAGCATTGCATTGTTATACTTTCTGATTCTTGATGGAAAGAGATTTAGGTAGAATGAGAAAGTGCCTGCTCCAAAGCAGAAAAGTGTCATAAATTTAAAAACAGCTGTTGGCCTGAGGTGCAAGTTACTTTGTCATGTTGGCCTCTGAATATTGGAAATAAGTGCAAGAACTGCTAAGTTGAGGAAGGGCCTTTGTAAGCAAAGAAAGAAGGGGCATCAATATGAATGATTTCTCTGTAAAGGTCATGACAGGCTAAAATACACAGCAGTGAGGCTCCATGTCCTAAGAGGCAATCGTTTGTTAAAATAAAATGAATTCCAGCACAGAGAATTTAGGTTAGTCTCAAGGTTTAATGACTTCAGAAACCAGGAGGTCACTCACATCTCTTTTGAAAAGGAACACCCCTTCTCCTGTTCTGGTATTAACTAACCCTTAACCTCATTAGCCTCTGCCATTCTAAAACAAAACATGCTCTTCAGCAATGATTGGCACTATACAATGTGTGCATCATGTCCAGTTCAGGGCTTGTAATCTATTCTTTCAGACTTTTAAAAGGAAGTAGGATAATTTAAATAAATTGAACCTGAAATCCTACACAGAATCAGCAACTCCTTAATAGAAATTTATCAGGCTTCCTCCTGACAAAATATAACTAGCATTGAAACATAACATTTTTGTACTCTTTCTTTATATCATTCAAGGAACGTGTTTCTGTTTTATTTTAAATTTTAATAGTGCATTCTCCCAGGAGGCTCTTTGAACTTGCAGAAGAGACATTTGTTGCTTTTTAATAGATCTTTTGTTGTTTAAAATTGTTTTGTTGGGTTGGATAAAGTAGAAAACCTGTGAGTTTTTTGACAGAACAGAAAGCCAGAAAGACATACAGACCCCTCTTATTGGTGTCTTGGGCTAAAAAAATAGGACCCAACTTAAAAGATACGCGCCCCCCCACCCCGGTAGCACAGCTGAGCTGCTGAACTTCCTGACCAAAAGGTTGGTGGTTCAAATCCAGGAAACAGGTTGAGCTCCTGCTATTAGGCCCAGCTTCTGCCAACCTAGCATTCAAAAACAGGCAAATATGAGTAGATGAATAGGTACTGCTTCTGTAGGAAAGTAATGCCCTATGTAGTCATACTGCCCACATGACCTTGGAGGTGTCTATGGACAACTCCAGCTCTTCAGCTTAGAAATGGAGATGAGCACCACTCCCCGGATCTGAGCAAGATTAGATTTAATGTCAGGGGAAACCTTTTCTTTTACCTAACTTACAAGATGCAGAAATGGTCCACTGCTGGCCCACTAAACACAGTGAGTGAGACAAAAAAGATGGAGTAGCTCTAACACATGAAATATTGAAGTTGAACTTAGTTGTGCCTTTAAAGGATTTTGTGGCTGATGCAGGTAAACGGTTTGTGCTGGGTGGCCCACCCAGGACACACCAGGTGAGTCTTATTCATCTATCAAAGGATTTAACACATTTGTAAACACTGAGGAAGTAATACTGGATGGCGGTGATGTGTACACCTATCTTACTGTGAGTTGAAGACAAATGCCATCACAAGTTGATCTGTAGTCATCATGAGTTGAGAGAGAAATTTGAAATTTGGAAAGCTGGGAACAAAGGGTCCTGGCACATGAGCCTGAAGAGTTCATGCAGTTCAAGTGAGATGAATAAATATACAATTCAATGAAAGTATTCTTAAATTATTTCTCTCCTCAATTCATTTCTATAATATTTTCATCTATCTGATAATGCCCATTCATCTGTCTTTCTACATCAGACAATAACCCCATCAATCACTAAATTTGTAATGACTCCTAGGCAGTATTTTGAAGCAATAATACAGGATCAACAGTGGCAACCCAACCATGTTCAGCTGTATGTTTCCTTGTCTTTCAATTTGCTTCCTTTAGATTCATTATAAATTTATGGGGAGGGAGGATATTCCAATTACAACACCATATGTGAAAGGTGGGAATCATCTGACCCACCAGATGATGTTGTACTGCAAGTGCCATAACCCCTAGCCAGCATAACCAATGGCAAGAAATGCTGAAACTTGCAGTCCCACTATCATTGGAAGGCTGAAAATTCCCCATCGGTAAGGTAAAGGTAAAGGTTTTCCCTTGACATTAAGTCCAGTCATGTCTGACTCTGGGGTTTGGTGCTCATCTCCATTTCTAAGCCAAAGAGCCAGGATTGCCCATAGACACCTCCAAGGTCATGTGGCCAGCATGACTGCATGGAGTTCTGTTACCTTTCCACTGGAGCGATACCTATTGATCTACTCACATTTGCATGTTTTTGAACTGCTAGGTTGGTCCTGAAAGAAGAACCAGGAAAATAAGATTCTGACTATAAATAGAAGGTCAGCTGCCATCCTCACCTTTTTGCCTCGGTTTTTACTCGTGTTCTATTTTGAAATGGTCATATGACTGGTTAAATAAATATAAATAAATAAATTATTATTATTATTATTATTATTATTACTATTATGCTAGGTTGGCAGAAGCTGGGGCTAACAGCGGGAGCTCACGTTGCTCCCCATCAGTACCATTTGATAATGAGTAACCAAAACATTTTATAAGTTATCATGCCAGCTACAAAAATACCATTATTCAACCAATTAATCAAAGGCACAGGAGCAATATTGATCAAAACAATTCTCAAGTAAGCACGAAATATAAAGCTTCAGAATTAGGAGACATTTTTCAGCAATAACTATAGCAACAACACATTCTATGGAAAGACAAATTGCTTACCTGTGAATAGACTCTATTGTGCCACTGCTGTTCCCCAGGAAAATGTGTTTCTGGAAAATTTGCCAGCCAGGTTTGTAAAAAGACTGAGGTTTTTGCTAAGGACTTTACATCTAGCTGAAGGAATTTATCAGGGTGGTTGTTATTTGGCAATACAGAGAGATCCATGTTTTCCTTCTACATATTCTGCAGTTCCAGAGCAACTACTCTTTTCTTCTATAATTAATTAAGTGAACAACGATACGGCCTTTCTCTTACCTGAAACCGTAGCTGAAGCTGTTTGATGTCAGGCAGGCTCATTTCCTATTGTCTGCATGTAAAAAGGATCGTGCAGCTGCTCCGTTTAAAGCATTAACTTCTGCTTTCAAAAGCAGGTATCAAAGTGCAAGAAAAAGTAAAGTATGGGCCCATTAATTGTGACTAAGAGACTTTGAAATACAGGAACAGGCCCCACACAGGCATTTGGTGTTTCAAAGGAGACCTTTGAGCACAATCAAAAGCTATACATTTCATTAGAAATTACAGAATGAGAAGTTTTCATTAGCAAGTGTGGTTTGCTGTGTAATTTTTTAAAATATAGCTTTATTACAGAGAGAGTACTGGTATTTCAGATGACTTGAAAAACTATTGTTAGCAATATGCACAGTGTGTCAAGACTCATAGTAACTGAGTTAATATAGTCCATCAACAACACGGAACTGGGAATAGCATTCTTTCTTGGACTGAAATGAGACTTCTGAGTTACAGAGCATAAGTAGAAGCTAATGTGTTGTGCTGCTATGACATTCAGCCTGGAACAATGCACATAGTAGAGTTTTAACAGATACTTGAAATTCTCTTTTGTTAGCTTACCTTTCATTTACACTGACATTTTTCTTGAGCACTGCACACTTCTGATCAGCTTGCTACATTGTTATAAGTTATATGCCAGAGCACAAAGAGTGTATTTAGACAAAAAGCTGCTTAACCACTCTAAAGTACTATTAAGAGTTGCAACTGAAAATGGTAGATTTTCTGTGTATATATCCTACTACATCAGTTTATTTGGTGACACTCCTTTAAGACTTTCAGTTTTCTCCAGTATCCTTTGGTCCAAGAGCACGTTCACACTACACAGTTATTGAGTTATGATTCCTATTTAATTGCCATGACTGCACCTTAGGAAGTAATGATTAACTTTATGATTTAGATCACTGAAATGATACATAAACATGCTAAAGAACTGTGACAATGCTCAATGGGAGCTCATAAAGGGGCATGGAGCCACCAGTGGCGCAATGGGTTAAACCATCTGTTAATCATGTTAGAGAATTGTGACGATGTGCAATGGGGCTCATAATGGGGCATGGAGTCACTGGTGGCACAATGGGTTAAACATCTGTTAGCTCCAGCTTCTCATGTGGGGACATGAGAGAAACCTCCCACAGGATGGTAAAGCATCCGGGCATCCCTTGGGCAACATCCTTGCAGACAATTCCCTCACAACAGAAGTGACTTACAGTTTCTCAAGTCACTCCTGACATTTAAAAATGGGGCATCACCCAGATGTCCTGCTGGCTCCCACAACAAGGCACCTTGAAAAATTGTAAGACATAACAACTTCCCACTGCCATCTGTTTTGGATTACCAGTGTCCAATAGTTCTGTGGGGGGCCCTTGCTCCTCTCTTCTTCCGGTGTCATAATGCAAGGCAGCCTGATCTATGATGTACCATACTGTTGCACATTGCAAACACTGCCATGCTGCTCACTCTGCTTGTGTGATTGTTCCCATGTCACAATGTTCTCCTCCTGGGAATACATCCCTTACACAATCCCACACTTCTAGACTGTGTAATCTTAAATTGGTGTATTATGTTGTAAATTGCTAACAGAATCCCATCCCAAGAACATATCAAAACAGAACCACACTTGTAAGTGGATGAGTTTATATAATATAGATATATTTATTGAAGGTGTAAAAATCAAATGACACATGTACAATATTTTCTCATAAGGAAAATGTTGTCTTGTTTACGTTTCACAAACTGTAAAACTGTATGTTTATAAAGATCTTTTTTAAAAAAAACAAAGAATTTTATCACAAAATTATTTTCTAAAACTTTTTTTAAAAACTGAAAATTTAGCCCAATTCATGGTAAGCATTAGGTCTCTCCTTTCTGGTAAAACTTCAAGAGAATATGTATGAGCACAGACAGCAAAGCTCGTATCTCTTGTTTAAAATACTTAAACACAAATGACATATTAAAACAGTACAGAGTTCTTTCATAGGATGGTACAAGGTCTAGGACGGTGTTTCTCTACGCTACATCAAACAGTGCAACAGAGATTCAGTGTAAATCTTTACAGTGTTTAATTGATTCAATACTTGTGTTCAAGTATATGTTCATGCACATGATTAAAATCCCTACTTTGCCATTTTTGTCTATTTTTGTTCATAAAAGTTTCTAAGTTACAGTAGATCATTTCCTACAGTATGTTTCTAAGGGCACAGAGAAACCCTATAAACATGAGATGTCTCAACATTTTCCAAGGCACATTCATTCATGTGGAGAATATGTGTTATGATGTACACCATTTGTGGAGACTGCCCAGGGCTTCCCAGAACATAAAAATAGGCAGAATAGATAAGATGAATAGTCTACAGTGTCCACAGCAGCCAACCAGTTGCCTACAGGAAACTCACAATCAAGATATGCAACAGCTCCTTGTGAACTAAGCTCTCCAGAAATTGTTATACCAGCACTGGATGGAGTCTATAGTATATTAATCATAACTAGTAGCAACTGATGGCCCCACCTTTGGCAAATTTGTCCAACAACCCTTTAAAGCAGTGGTTCCCAACCTTTTTTGACCAGGGACCATTTGACTCTCCACCATTAGTACCAATAGGGTTACGAATCTGTTTTTGGTCAACTTTAGATTTAGCTTAGTTATTTGGGGTGCTGATTCAGAAAACTGCATTGGATAGACCACGTCAGCTCTAGTTTCTGATACCCAGTAGTTGCCATCTGCTTGCCCACAGAAAACCATATTTAATAATCTAGAACTGTGGACCTTATTTTAGGTCTCACGGCCCACAGGTTGGGAACCACCACTTTAAAGCTGTCCAAAATGCTATACTAACCAATTTAGGGGAGCAGCAGTTTCCCAAGATGAAATGAAATGTCTGAAAAATGTGGTGCTGAGATTATGAAAATTGATACTGGGAAGCTGTGGCAATATCTAGAGATGTTCTGCACCAAATGGTATGTTTATCACACAAATACATATCTGGGAAAACTTTGTCTGATAAAGCTCTTAGTAAAATAAGCATTGTTTTCCTAATACATTCTGTAATATAACCTGTTTAATGTTTTTAGCTTAACTCACATCAAAACCTGTTGCAAAAATATCTGAGGTCAATCTGACTCTGAGCACCAATATATCATCATAAAATAAAGTGAATTTCATTTCTTGGATACAGCAAAAAAAATCACCTTAAAAAAGTAAATTTAGGGAAACATGATGGCTTCTTACCAGGAACAATGAAGTGAACAGTTATGTGTGCTGAAGTCACACTTGTTATAAGTGATCCCATCCAGCACACCTAACCATGGACAGTATTTTGCTACCTCTTCCTCTTTGGGGCTTGGGAACGGGAAAAGTGTTTACTGTACTGAATATAAACATTTAAAATAGTATTTTTTTTAAAAAAAAAATTCTGATAAATGTATCCAAAATAATTCATATAAAAATTAATCATGGAAACTCTGAGCATAAAACAAAAAAAAAAGTCTTGGCAGGCAAAAAATAAATTAATTTGATTAAATTATATGTAATCTGATAATATTTGGTCTGAAGAAGCGTGCTTGGGGGTGTGTTTATAAATAATGTGACTGTGAAGAGCTGAGAGCTAACCAGACTGCCTGCCAGAGGTCAACTCCTTTGCTGCATTTTCTGCGCATAAAAGTCCCTGCACGTCTCACAGCAACGCTGATACCACCTCATGTCCTGACAGAGGTTCTTCTCCCGTATCACGCGGCAGTATACAGGCCATTGGTCTCCCAGACACTTGAACGTTAAGGCAGCTGTGAGAGGATACAAAACAAAGAGACACCGGTGTCTTTCCAAATGTCTCTCTAAGGCATTTACTATGTTCAGATTTATACAATTTTATTTATTCATTTATCATATTCCTCCCCTGCTCTTCTCACCCCTCAGGGGACTCATAGCAGCTGACATATATAGTCAACAATTTGATTCAATTTTGTATAGTACACAACATCAGATGAGCAATGAAAATGAAACCAAACCTAAGAATGCTATAGAGTTAATGATGTATTAGAGTCTATTGTGGAGAATGTGTTAGGGGACATTTCTAACCCAAAGAATGAGCTGAGGTGAAACACATTCATTGTGACTCTGTAACTCTGATCACAGCATAGCTAAGGAAATACATGCAGAAATGACAAGACATGATTAGAATGACCATGACTGTGTGGTGCTTACTCACCTAACCTAGGAGATGTAATTGTGTTCACATTGATTTTTTCATTACAGGGCTGCAGGTGGCAGGGTCTGTAGGCTGCAGGCTTTTCAGAGGAAAAACACTCATTGCCATGCCTTCCTGTGATCTTGTGCATGCACTGGATTACCCGGGATTGCATACCTTTGCCACAGGTGATAGAACACTGCAAAGAATTCAAGAGAGACAGATAAGGGGGGCACCCTTTTTGTCCATAAAAAACTCCAGATTTCTTTCAAACTGGACACAGCTTGACTCTTCGTTTTCCAGAAATCTAAACAAGTCCAGAACTTGAAATGTTTTCCTGCTTTCTACTATCACCTTTGAGGAAAGGAGGCTAGTTACACATTCACATTCACCTTCACTGAGTTTTTCTCAAAGAGCTGTTGCTCTTCCAAAGCTTGATATTTGATGGGAGAGCATAAGAGGGGGGGGGGGATTCTGCGTTCTGCTGCTGGACTTACAGCCCCTTGATGGATTGTCACATTGTTGTGGTGAGGGGGCCTGCGTGTTTTAATGAACCTGTGGGCCTAACCACTGGAGTCATGCACTCCCAGGAGGGGCCACAGGGGAGGTTCCAGACCAAGCACAATCCAAAGACCTGGAGACTTCAATGGGGGATGAGGTGGAGGATAACATGGTACATGATACAACAGCTGTGAAGGTGGAAGAAGACTGCAACAGATTGAGAAGCCACTGTCATTGTGTTAACCATGCCACTAGTTGGGACCTCACTCTGTGAAAACTGTGTGTTGATCAGTTGTGCACTGACCTCCACACATTAAAAAAACTAACACACAGGTGTTTCCCAAGCTGGACTTACAAAAATCTATGTTGTGCCTAGGCATTATGATTTTTCTGCTCCTAACTGTTTTTTTCTGTAATTGTTACTTTCAAGATTTAGCCCATTCCTATATGTCCCTGATGTTATCTCTATTTCTGGCATTATCTCTATTTCTAACTGGCTCTAACTAATTGTTTAATAGTCAAGGCTCTGGTTTTATGTTCTCTCCTCTATAGTTATTTATTTATTATTTATTTATTTATTACTGTGCTTATATACCGCCGTTTCTCAGCCTAAATCGGCGACTCAACGCGGTTTACAACACAACGACAAGCAGCAATATTCCATTAAAAAGCATAAAACACATACACAATACACAATATTATTGGGCCACCAATAATAATCCAATGCATCTCTTAATTGTAGTCGCAATCCAATTTCGTCGTCTGTGATTAACCAATCCTTGTTCATCAGTTTCGTTGCACCAGATTAATCGAATGCTTGTTTAAACATCCATGTCTTCAACCTTTTTCGAAATACCATCAGCGAAGGGGCTGATCTTACCTCCATAGGAAGGGCGTTCCACAGCCGGGGGGCCACCACAGAAAAGGCCCTGTCTCTCGTCCCCACCAGCTGCACCTGTGAAGCAGGCGGGATAGAGAGCAGGGCCTCCCCAGAAGATCTTAGGGTCCTGGTGGGCTGATAGGCCGAGATACGTTCGGATAGATAAGTTGGGCCAGAACCGTTTAGGGCTTTAAAGGCCAACGCCAGCACTTTGAATTGAGCCCGGTAGCAAATCGGCAGCCAGTGGAGCTGGTACAGCAGAGGAGTTGTATGCTCCCTGCGCCCCGCTCCTGTTAGTACATGGCTGCCGCCCGTTGGACTAATTGGAGCTTCCGAGCCGTCTTCAAAGGCAACCCCACGTAGAGAGTGTTGCAGTAGTCAAGACGGGATGTAACCAGAGCGTGGACTACCGTGGCCAAGTCAGACTTCCCAAGGTACGGTCGCAGTTGGCGCACAAGTTTTAACTGTGCGAATGCTCCCCTGGTCACCGCCGAAACCTGGGGTTCCAGGCTCAGCGATGAGTCCAGGATCACACCCAAACTGCGAACCTGCGTCTTCAGGGGGAGTGCGACCCCGTCTAACACAGGCTGTAACCCTATACCCTGTTCGGCCTTGCGACTAACCAGGAGTACCTCTGTCTTGTCTGGATTCAATTTCAATTTGTTCGCCCCCATCCCAGACCGTCACAGCGGCCAAGCACCGGTTCAGGACCTCGACAGCCTCCTTAGTAGCAGGTGGAAAGGAGAGTGACAGAGTTGGACATCATCTGCGTACAGATGACATCGCACTCCGAAACTCCGGATTATCTCGCCCAGCGGCTTCATGTAGATGTTAAACAACATGGGAGACAGTATTGAACCCTGAGGAACCCCACAAGACAAAGGTTGTGGGGTTGAACAGGAGTCTCCCAGTAACACCTTCTGAGACCGACCCTCGAGGAATGAGCGGAGCCACTGCAGAACAGTACCTCCAAGACCCATCCCCGCGAGGCGTCCCAGAAGGATACCATGGTCGACGGTATCGAAGGCCGCTGAGAGGTCGAGCAGCACCCACAGGGACACACTCCCCCTGTCGAGCTCCCGACGCAGATCATCCACTATGTCTTTAGGCTACATCTTGTTACATTTTTAAAAGAAGTTTATACAGTTTTTATATAAGAAATAGATACAGTACATGGAAAGATACAAATTACACAGAAAGTTAAGGAAAGGAGAGACGATTTATTAAAGGGTTACTAAAGCTTCACTCTTTGTGGAGTGACGATGCTACTGATCTGCTCCCAATCTCTGATAGCAAACTTGCAAAGTTCAAAAAAGATTTTTTTAAATAATAAAAACAATATATTTATTGCAGAGTCATTAACAAAATAGATCTTCCGGGAGCGGGGGGGGGGGGGGGGG